TGTGAAAAATTGCAAAATATATTGCCTGATATATTTAAAATACTTACGACATTCATAATTACTTAAAATTATGTTAACTTATATACTTATATATAATATATAATTATATATAATTACTTAAAATTATGTTAATAATACAATAACTTTTCCATTTTGGACACATGAAAAATGATGGGTTGTTAATTAAAATACAAGTTCTCACCGAAAACACATTTATATATGCACAACAATAAACTTGGCAAGGTCAAAGTATTATGTATTCAGTAGCTTCTGAAAGTGAGATTGATATTTAGCTAGCTTTATGCATTATAAAGCATACTGCATATTTATGTGTATGATGTATGCATTATTTTGTGTGGTAAGCAAGAATTACACTTTATCTCCAGTGGGAGTAGAGAAGGGAGAGGCTGTGACATTCTGATATCACACAAGTTGCAGAACCACCAACTGACATCAGACTACTTTCTCTAAAATACTACTTTCTCTAAAATCAGTAATCCTTTTCTATCTGACGATTACAAAGATTTACAATGATTCGAGCCAAGTAATAAATCTCAGTCTCACGAGAGTCCAGTGTTCATGAATATTCTCACATTCAGTACTGAATGAATACTTCATATAGAAATAATGAGTCTTAATGTTATTATATAGTGAAGGATTTAGTTCCTGCCACCCCTTCTGACTGTACAGTGGGGCATGGACTACTCCATACACAAGAAAATGCAGTGCTGACTTAATAATGGGAGAGACACAGAGGGAAGACTCCAACTAAGCTTCAGAGATTGGAAAGAGTAAGTGATATTTAAGCTGAAAGCTCAATACTATTAAAGGTTAGAGAAAGAAAGGGAGATAAAAGACATGGCATCAAGACTGACTCTGGAACAGTTAGGAATAGAACATATCTGAACATAATAAAGGCTTTTCATGACAATCCTACAGCCAACATCATACTACATGGTGATAAAAGTAGAACTCATTTGCTCTAAAATCACCAACAAGGCAAATATGTCCAGTCTCTCTATTGCTTTTCAATAGAATATTGGAATTCCTAGCAGAGCAATAAGGCAAGAGAAAGGCATAAACAAGATGCAAACAGGAAAGAAGTCAAATTATTCCTGTTTGCAGATGACATGATCCTATATCTGCACGACCTGAGAGATTCCACTCACAAGCTCCTAGAGCTGATAAATAACTATGGCAAAGTAACAGAATACAATATCAACCCATAAAAGTCATAGCTTTTCTGTATACTTCTGATAGGGAAGGGAAAGAGCAGCTAGAGAAGGAAATCAAGAAAACAACTCCATTTGCAATAACCTCAAAAAATAACCGAAAAGTGGGGGATCTCTACCACCAAAACTATAAAAAAAACTTTGAAGAAAGAAATTAAAGAAGATATGAGGAAGTAGAAAGACCTCTTGTGTTCCTGGATTGGCAGAATTAACATCATGAAAATTCCAATACTACCAAAGTCAATCTACAAGGAGAGTCCAATAGCCACGACTATTCCAATGTCATTCTTCACTAAAATAGAGAAAACAATCCAAAAATTCATATGGAATCACCAAAGGCCTTTAATAGCAAAACAGGTCCTGTGGGGGTTGGAGAGACTGATGCTAGGATCACAATTCCAAACTTCACACTTTACTACAGAGCTATACTAACAAAATCAGCTTGGTACTGGCACAAAAACAAGTTTGAAGTCCAATGGGACACAATAGACGTCCTTGCATCTGATGTAAGAATCGGTGGTCTAAAACCTTACCCTGCCTTCTAGCACAGACGGTTTCTAATTTTAACTCATAGCCTATGATGTTTAGCACCACAACTGTATTTCTAAACCAGTGGAAATCAGGAGGGTTAGAGAAGAAACCAGTAAAATCTGTGGTACGACTGTTAGTCTTTTTTCTTTTTTAATCACTGTGACAAATACCTGAACAGAGTGACTTCAAGGAGGAAAGTTTCATTTTGACTCATGGTTGCCGACTGTGTTGGCTGACTCCATTGTTTCTGGGCCTGTGGTAAGACAGTATACCATGGCAGAAGGGCATGGCCCAGGAAAGCTGCCCACCTCATGGTAGACAGGAAACAGAAAAAAATAACACAGAGCTAGACTGAGGAATGACCAGGGACATGTTATACTCTTCATTTTACTGGTGACTTACTTCCTCCAACCAGGCCCTACTTACCAATAGTCCATTCAATTGTGAATTAAGTGGTGGGTTAACCCATTGCTGAGGTAACCCATTGCTTTATGAACTTAGTACTGGCTCATTTCTGGAATCCTAGCTACTCAGGAGTTTGAGATCTGAGGATCATAGCTTGAAGCCAAGTCTAGAAGACTCTTATCTCCAATGAACATTACCAAGCTGGAAGTGAAGGTGTGGCTCAAGTGGCAGAGAGCACCGGTTATGAGTGAAAAATTCAAGCGAGAACATAAGGTCCTCAGTTCAGTACACACACATACACACACACACACACACACACACACACACGACACAATTGTCTCCCATCAACAAGCAAGCAAGTCCTTGACACAGGAGACTTTGGAATAGTTTTAAATATTTTACATATTTTTACTAAGACACCTTTGTATGAAACCAGATGGCACACAGTGATGAGAAGTGGAGGATTTATCCTTTCCCACAAATGCAGATATCTTGGAAGGGTGAACATGAAGGTCTCATGCTGGTTGGCCACGAACTTTCTTAGAGATGCATCCATAATTTTGCAACAGCTACACTGAGGAAGGCCTCCATTTCCTCCATGACTGCTACTTTTTCAAATGCCTCCACCACTGGAAACCACCTTAAAAGATTGTCAGTTACACTGAAGATGGCAGGGTAAGCTGCTGACACCATTTATTTGAGGAAGCCACCAAAGGGCACCAGCTCCAGGTGTTTCCAAGTAGTCAGAAAATGACAGGGGCTGGGGAATATGCCTCAATTCTATAAACGCAGAAGACTCCCCATGCATTTTCTTCACAATACTGTCACTGTCTTTGCTTTTCTGTGAGTAAGGGGGTTTCAACTTGGGCACCTGGTATTTATTGACTCAGCTGGTGCTCTACCACTTAGGCCACACCTCCTGTCTTGTATTTTCTTTGTGTAATTGGAAGCAGAGTCTGGAACTATTCTGCCTAGCTAGCTTCAAACTGAGATCTTGGAGGTTTCAGCTTCCTGAGTAGCTAGGATTGTAGGAGTGAGCCACCAGCATCCAGCAAGTTTCAATCCATTACAGCTTTTACATCTACTCTAGATCTTACTGGCACAAGTCTTAAAAAGCCTTAGTTCTTTTTAGTAACATTAAGTAGGGTCACCTTCATTTAAATACAAGAGTTGTCATTTTTAGTAGGTAATTGTGCTTATCATTTTTATTGTTTGCATTCACAGTATATAAATGATTTTGTTTTGTTTTGATATATGTGCCCTAGGCTGGCGTCCTGAACCTCCTGCCTCAGCCTTCTGAGTACTAGCTTTGTAGTATGTATCACCATACCTGCCAACATGATGTTTTTACATATTTAAATATTTGTATGTAGTTAAATGTATCTGTTCACTTAGGTGAAGCAAGTTAACATATCCATTCTTCTACAGTTGCTCTATTTTAATGGTAAGAACCCTGAAAGTCTACTCTTGTAAAAAGTTTCTAGGAGTGAATATAGTATTATTAACTATAACATTTTACACATTAGATATCTGGATATATTCATCACATGATTTAAGCTTGTGACTTTTGGCCTACATTGCCCTCCCGCCCCCACTCCTTCTGCAACTACTAGTATTCTATTTTGTATTTATATATTTGACTTTTTTTTAAGATTCTACATATAACTAAGAGTGTGAAATATTTTCATTGTGTCAGGCTTATTTCACTTAGCATAATGTCACCAAGCTAATCGATGTTACTGCAAACGGTAGAATCTCTTATTTTAAACTTGCATAATATTTCTGTGTGTGTGTGTGTGTGTGTGTGTGTGTGTGTGTGTGTGTGAATTTCTTTATCTGTTTATCAGACCAGACATGCTTGGGGCTAGTTTCATATCTTGGTAATGAACTTGGGGTTCAGGTATGTCCTAGCCAGTTCTGGTTTTATTTCCGCTGGGTACCTCCCAAGCAGAGGGGTTGGTGGGCCCTATCTTCGCGTGGGCTTTAGTAATGGTATTTCAGATAAAGCACCAAAGTTCAACCAACACAAGTGAAAAATAGACCAATGGGATTTCATCAACAAAAAGGCCTCGGAACCGCAAAGGAATCCATCAACAGTGAAATAAAAACAGTTGACAGAACGGTAGAAAATATTTGTGAGCCATAAACCCCAAATCCATGCACACAATGGAATCATCAGCAAGCAGAATAATCACCTCCCACCCCCACCCAGTGAGCAAGCAGAGGAAGGAACTGAATGGGAGAGTGTTTCTAAAGAAGGCACAGGCAGAGCCCGCAGACATAAGGAAGGCAAAGTGCACACCCCGCCTGGTTAGTAACCAGGGAACTGCAATGCCCTTCAGCTCACACCTGCTAGGCTAGCCTGCTATCAAACAGAGAAGAGATAATGATAGCTGGCAAAGATCTAGAGGAAAGGGAACGCAGCTTGAAGGATCCCCATCACCGCCACCCCCCAAGAAAGAAAACACCCAAACCAGACTTTCTCTAGGACTCAGCCTTAGGTCCTCGGTGAAGTTCCGCGTCCCCGGGGGTGACTGTCACTTTGGGACAGTGGGGGGGGGGGGGGGTGCTGCAGGCCGTCCGGCCTTCCCGAGGCCAGGGATTTATCCCCAGGACCCGGCTCTGCGCCGGGGTCTGGGACTTCCGAGGGTCCCGCAGGGAGACTCCCCGGGGGCCCAGCAGGGGGCGGCCCTGGCCCGGAGGGCGGGGAGAGCTGGGGGAGAGGAAGTTGGCTGACCGCGGAGGCCGCCCGGGCCCGCCCCCGGTCCGCCCTCGGCCCCCCGCCCCCCCCCCCCCGCACATTCCGGGTCCTGTGACCCGCGAGCGCGTCCCGGGACCGGGACCGGCCGGCCTCAGCGACGTCTCCCGCGCGCGCGCTGGCCGGTGCGTGCGTACCGGAGGGAACCCAGCGCCCATGGCCGGCGGGGGAGCCGAGGAGCCCGGGGCGGCCTCCGGCGCGGCCCCGGAGACCCGCGAGCACCTCTTCAAGGTGCTGGTCATCGGAGAGCTCGGCGTGGGCAAAACCAGCATCATCAAGCGCTACGTCCACCAGCTCTTCTCCCAGCACTACCGGGCCACGATCGGCGTGGACTTCGCGCTCAAGGTGCTCAACTGGGACAGCAGGACCTTGGTGCGGTTACAGCTGTGGGACATCGCGGGTAAGCGCCAGCGCGGGGACCCCCCCGCGACCCCCGCTCCCCGGCTCCCCGGCTCCCCGCTTCCCCCACCCCACCCCTAAACGCCCTGCTTGGTGCTTCCAGAAGAAATCAGGACCCGTGACACTGCGGTGGGGTGGGGAAAAGGGGGGGACATGCGGTGGACGCCTCCCAGGGGACTCGGGTGGGGACAGACCGGCGACAGGGCGATGCAAGGGGGCGAGGGAGCCTAGGCACGGGCCCCCTGCTAAGACCCCCCGCCCCCCTCTTTCCCGGGTGTAAAAGAAGCTGAACCCCATCTCCCTCTGTGCTGACAGGAGCCAGGAAGCTGGAGAGACTTATTCCAGAAGTTCTAACTCTTGAGAGGTGAAGGAACTGGAAGTTGGGGGGGGGGGGGTGTTGAAATCGGGGTGAAGGGACTCAGGAACTAACTAGGGGAGCTGGCTGCAGGTCGTTACAAAAGCGCACTTGCAGTTGGAGGCCTGGGACCCAAACGAAATACTGATTTCCTGTGGGACGCTTGCTTTTGTTGTCGTTGTTCCAAGGCCTGCCTTGATCTGTGCCCGGCTTTGGTGAGGGCTTTCTTTCTCTTTCCAGCCAAGGACAGAGATCCTCTAGATGAGGAAGCCACCGAGAGTATTGTAGAAGTTGTAACTCTGGAGTGGTAACGAGTTTGGAATGTACCAGGAAGAGTAGGAGCTGTGTGGGAAGAAAAGCTTGGACCCGAGCCCAGCCTTTCCCAGGGAAACTCCACTCCTCCGACTGCTGCTCTTTATGGGAAGGCCCGGTCAGCCAGGGGAAGGTCTGGGAAAGTTTCTTGGAAACTTTATGTTCCTGGTGCCCCAGGGAAACTAACTCCCACCCCTATAACTCCCTCCTTCCCATCCCACCAATGCCCCATGGCTTCCCTGGGCCTGGCTTTTGGAGGTTCCTCTGGCAGGTTGCCTTTCCCCTGAGGGCCTAAGTGCCCTCACCCCTGCGTACTGTTATTTATGCACACCGGCTGTGTTGGTGCAGAAAGGAGGTGAACTTTAGGCAAGTTTAATTATGGAGTTGCTCACATCTCCCTAAGTTACCCCTTTCTCACATCCCTGGGGTTCCAAAGCTCCATCCGCATGGAGCACTTGAATAGGAGCATGTTTGGGGTTGATGACATCAGACCACCTATTTTTTACAGATACACATCCTGTGAAGGGTAAGGGAGGGTCACCCCGGGAAGCCAGTCTGCTCTTTCTTCATTTACAGCCTCTCATCATACAGATAAGGAAGTAGGGAAGAATTGAGACTTTATTCTCATTTATTTAAGAGAAGATTTCCCCAGCTCCCATAAGAGAATGCATGAATAGACACATCAGTCCCTCTGAGAAAAAGTCATCAGCCTTGATTCAACTCGTTGTTTTTTTAGTTTTTCTTGGTTACCCCAAACCAAAAGTACGTTTGAAAAGTCATCTTTTAAGTCTGGAGGCTTCTTTTGAAATACTTCCTGCTGTTGCCCAGAGCACTAGTAAACATTTTACTGCATCTGATCCAAGTGGTTGGTTCTAAAGGTTACCCTACCATGTGACAGTCACCATCCATCCAATGGAGCTTCCCAACAAAGATGATCTTAAACCCCTGCCTACAGGGTAGCTGACTTTGCCTTGTTCTTTATGTAAATTGATATTTAGGTACTGTATTGATTGAGTCCTAGCAGGTAAATGACTTTGAAAGCTAGATTTTTCATAGTGAACATGCTGTAAAATTCAAGGTAGATTGCTTCTATTTGAAGACGAGGAAACAGGAGAATAAAGGGAGTTTTCCCCTTGGATGGCACTTCCTCTCTTTTCATTCTTCTTTTTATATTCCTTGAGACAGAATCTCATAAGCCAAGATGGCCTAAAACTTGGAATCCTCCTGTCTCAGCCTTTGGAGTACTAGGTATGCACCACCTGGGCAGACACCTAGCTTTGCCCTTCTTGAGCAGACTTGTCTAGGCCGGAAGGAGACTGCTTCCATCTTTATCACAGTGGTCACCTACCAAAATGGCACCTACTTGTAAGAGCTTTGACAAGAAAGCAAGCATGGTCATGAGATCTCCAAAAGGGATTTCTGATCACTAGCTACTGTTGCCTTAAAATATATATTGTTATTATAAAAGTGATATTCAGTTAGATAAGTTAGGTAGAGCACATTTCTTTGGGGGCAGTGTCACCTCTTCCCTCACTCTATCCCGTCTTCCCCTCCCATCCCCCACCCCCACAAGTTGTATAGTTCATTTTCAACATAGTGTCTAGTGAGCACCCCTGCTGTATTTGTTAACCTTTGTAACTACATTTCTGTGAACCAATAAGACAAAAAGAAAAGAAAACAAAAACAGCACCAAAGGAAAAAAAAAAAAAACCTCATTTTCATTTCCTGAGGTTTATTTCAATAAATACTATTGTATATGACCAAATGCACCTATGTATTGTGCCTTTGTATTCCTTTCCTAAGAATATCCAGCTTTAGTCTTGCTGTGCATGAATGGCTAGAGTCCTATATAATTTATTATGTCCCAGTATATTTTAGATCTAGCTTCCACATACGGGAGAAAAAAAAAAAACATATGAAGTTTATATTTCTGATCTTGGCTTACCTACTGTTGTCCTAACAGAAATGTTTGTACCATTCAGCAAGTACATATTCAAAAGTAAATGTATGAAGCAATTAGAAATTATGAAGGCCTTTCTTCTAATTCAGATTTTGACATAAGGATAGAAAGAGACAAAAATAACAGATGGGAGCCTATAGCATTAACTATGCTTGGTTTGAATAGTTGAGCCATTAATGAGTCCTCCCTTACTCATACCATTTGAATTAAGTAGGAGTCATATAATGAAAACAAGCCAACCAAAGGCCACTCCTGCAATTTCCCCTGTGGCTAAACATATTTGCCTTAAACAGCAGCAACATTGGATCATAGTAAATTCTCCAAAAAGTAGAAAAATTCCTTAATTGCAAAACAGGAAGTAGAGCAAGCCACTTGATATGACTAACTTAGGGGTCAGTGTTATTACTATGTCCTTTTTGTTAATGAAATGAGCAAAGCAGTAAAGACATAATGTCAACAGTATCTAACCTACAAAGCTGTGGCAAATGTAAATGGCAAGAATTGCTGAACGTTTTTAGCCAGGAAGTTTTGGCTAAACTCTTTGGATTAAGAACCATATTAACTTGCAGGTTACAAGCCCTAATGAATCTTTTCTCAAGGCACTAAAAAAGAAAAAAAAAAATGGGCTGGGAAGGTGGCTCAGTGGTAGAGTGCTTACTTTGCATGCATGAGGCCCTGGGTCTGATTCCTCAGCACCACATAAGCAGAAAAAGCTGGAAGTGGTGCTGTGGCTCAAGTGGTAAAGCACTAGTCTTGATCTGAAGAGCTGCCCAGGCGCAGAGTTCAGGCTCCATGACTGAAAAAAACAAACAAAAACAGTATTAATATATTTCCAGTATATTCTGGAAATATATTAATATATTTAATTTTACATTAAAATTTTGAATACAGCTGTACAAAGACACACTAAATTAAGATATAATATGAGATTTTCTCTGAACTTTTTAATGCTTAGCAACATAAAGTAGTATGTGGATTCATGAGCGTCTTGCTTATTAGTGATTTTAAAATGTTCTAGACAGGTTGAATGGATAGTTGAAGTTAAATCTTAGAATGAATTTGGCTATTATATCTTCTGTGCTTTAGGCTTGATGTATTGATTGAGGTAATTTGCAACATTTCTTAGGCCAGAGGACAAACGAACTAATCTGCTTTTTAAGTTCATGTTATATTTTACCCCAAACCAAAATATTTTAAGTTGTATAAAATATATTTAAACTCATTCCAGTTTCTGTCCTAGCATAGAAGTCTCTTCTTTATTTCCTTGTTCCATCTTATACTTGGCCAATTATTACACTTAACTACCTCTGTCTTCTTTCATAACCCTCTGTTAGCCCTTCATGAGAAAGAAAGAACCTAGAATATTACATTTAATGCTTTAATCACCTTTCAAGGGACAGTCTGGGATTATGAATATTCAGTTATCTTCTACATATAAAGAAGTGGTGCTTTGAGAAATAAAGTCTATTTAGTTATATCTATTCAGTGTCACATAAATCCAGTAGTAAGTTTCCTAGGGCTTGTTGGTGGCCTATTGTTTAAAACTAATTGAAAAAGCTGTTTCCAATCTCTGTTCCACTCAGGTGAGGTGACTCGGTCTTGCCATGGTAGTCTTAGTCAGGCTTTTCCAAGGTGCTCGACTGCAAGTAATGCCATCCTAACATCTTGACATCTTTCTCAGTTGCTGAATTCTGAAACACTGTGAGTGCTCCAGTCTGTTCATAGGTTGTGCATTCACAATTGTCCACACAAGCAGTGGTTAGCACAACTGCATATTTGTATTGCTGTTCACGGAAACTCCCTGGATAGTGCTGTGCCTGTGGTTTGTCACTTTTTAATGTTTCTATTCTTAGCTGCTTCAATTGCCCCATTAAGCTGAAAAAATGCAGTATAGAAAGTGGCACACTGACAGGAAATTCTAAAACCTTTCTTAACTCTCAGCAAGTTGCCTGACCAGTCCACCTTTTGAATTGATTTATATAAGGCTCTTCCTCATAGTCTAAACGTAAGAGTGGTTTACTAACTTGATCAAGAAAACATAGGTAATCAGTGGCACTGTGTCAAAAGTTGCATGATTCTTGGATAGGAAAACAATAAGCTTTTAGCAGTATAGGGTATGGGGTTTACTAATGTCAAAATTGTAGCATAAATCCTTTTTGAATGCTTTAACACTCAATTAGAGCTTGTAATTCATGCTTTAAACTTGTAATGATCACTATCTTGTCCTGTTTGTGATGTCAATTTTCCAGTTAAATCTCTCTTACTTATAAAGTCAGAATTTCCACATAGAGTTTTGATTGTCTTTTTCTTTCTTTTTTTTTCTTTTGGTCATGGGGCTTGAACTCAGGGTCTGGGGACTGTCCCTGAGCTCTTT